AAGGTCTTCCACAGAACCCGAAGTGCATAGTTTTAGCCAGCAGCCAGGAAGCCCCAGGAATCCTCCTCCTCTCTCTGCTGGGGTTACAAGCATTTGTGGCCATACCAGCCTTCACATTAGTGCTTGAGGATTTGAGTTCAGGTCTCCACACCTGCACAGCAAGGGCTCATGCCCTCTCCAGCCCAGAACAGGTTCTTTTGTGTCTCTAGTTTCAAACCCAGGGTCGCAAAAAGATTAACTGCACCAAGTGGAAGGATAATGAAGAAAGAATTCCTGTACTTCTCTTTGTTTATTTAAAGTCCTTCGGGTCTGAGGATGTGCCTTGTCCTTCCTTTTCCCAAAAGGGGCCTTGTGAATTCTCCCGGATGTGCCCAACCCCTTAGTTAGCCCTTATCCCTGACCTTGAATGGCTTTCTCTGACTATGGTTAAGAGGAGGAGAGGGTGAGCATGCTTCTCTTCCAGAGAAACCCAACAGCTTCGCTTCTTGTCTCTTAGAACAGCCCACTCCAATCCCAGTCCATAGAACAAAGATTGAGAACTGGGTGTAACTCGGGAAATGTAATTGAAAGTGATGTCTTTCACAGTCACTGCGCACGCGCACCCACCCCTCACTCCCCCCCCACATGCATGCACACACACATACACACACACACACACATGCACGCATGCATGCATACTGCCTTTTTTTTTTGCAATTGGCTATGGGGACAACCACAAACTTTGGTCAAAGAGGAAATGATGCCAAATGCCTTCTTTAGAGAAAACACATCTGTCAGGGACAAGGGCTCTCAGACAAGCTGGCAAAATGCAGGATGAAGATTGCCTAGAAGGACCGAAGCCCCTCTGTTTGTTAATGGACTGTTGGGCAGGCATTAACGCCAAATCTACTGTGAGAATGAGCTTCGGCTGAGGACTTATTCACATCCCACGTGTCATTCTCTAACCCAGGTCAGACACTCATGTCCTTCTTCCTTGTCACCATCAGCACTCAATTTTCATTGCACAGAATATGCACACTCCATCAGCATGGAGACGTGATCCACTTTTCTCCTCGTGGTCCCTGGCTCTAGCACAGTGTGTGATTAGTAAATATTTAGGGGAAAAAAACACAATTGAATGCTTCTGGATCCACCATCTACCAGATATGTGAGTTTGGACACATTGCTCAAGATTCTCTTTAGCCCCTTCACGATGGAGGTAGAAGATGCACCTGTGTCTTTGGGTTGTCCAAAATAAATAAGATGTGTGTCAAGTCACTTGACTCAGAATACTCAGTAAAGGCCAGCCACTGTCACTTATAGCTACAGCTGTCACCCCGAGGCAAAAAAACAAGGTTGTGAAGCACCTCGGACGTTACCTGGGGTATAGTGAGTGCTCAGAGGAGTTTACTCAACTGTATTTTACACACACCATGCCGGTTAATCTTGACAGCGCAAGTCACGTCACCAATATTCTGCTTCATGAAAGTGGTGGAACCTTAGAGGAAATTGAAATCTGCTCAAATCAGCAGTATGACAAAGAGCAGATTCAGAATTTGATCATATTTGCATAAACATGACATTGAACTACCACCCAAATCTTCATGCACTCTAAGTCTCAGCTTGTTTACCTGGGGAAGAAAACATACAGGAAGAGAACCAACAGCTCTCTGGTCTCCAAGATGCCCCAAGAGCAAGCATCCCAGGAGGAGAGGTGAGAACTCCCAAATCCATTTAGCCCTGAGCACATTTTAAGTGCTCATTTTCCCAGCATGACATTGTGGCTTGGCACCCTAAGGCTTCCTGCCAGTCTGTCTGCTGGGGCTCCACGCAGGCCCTCACTTGCCACCATCTCTTGATTGACACTGTCAGTTTCCCAGCCAATTTCCTTGAGCAGTTTAACAGCCTCTGGGTGCTGTAATTTCCCTCTACCCCATTTCTAAGTGCCAGCTTTCTTCTTCTGCAGATGCTAGGTCTGTCCTGTGCACCCATTTGGGGGCATGAGATGCTCAGCGCTCTCCAGCTTCCTCCCTTTTCTTGACTACGCTTTTTCTCTCTTGCATCATGGAACCAGAACAAGCTCAAAACGGATAGGTTTCCCATTCCGAACACAATAAAACCTTTTTAGACTGTATTTCAAAACAACCTACATTTGAGAATGGGGTGGTGGGTTCTGCAGCTTGTGTGGCTGTTCAATTTGTGACGGACATTCATGTACTGCTACTAAAATCAGCAGCCGCCAGTCGGGCACAAAGTTACTATCACAGGACACTAAACCGACCTCACATCCAAAAGGAATGGAAGATATTTAATAATGGATGTCTAAGTAATTTACTAATTGTTAGATTCAGCCCGACTGAGTTTCTATCCCCCCTGCTACAACCTCATATGTAAGCAAACAAATCCGGAAAGTTCTGAGTGTGGCGGAAGCAAATTAATCTTTGGATTGAACGTCTACGCATGAAAGTCAACCGTGTGCTCTCCACCTGAGTTAAACCATGAGCACGGGTCCAGCCAGCTTGCGTCATGTTCTGTCAGGAGTTTAGTGTCAAGTCCATGACGGGAAGAGACCGGCAAAGCAGGAGAAGCCACCCGCTTATCTCACTTGGCAATTTCTAAAACGATCACCTCATTGACCTGCCTTCCAAAATGCTTTTCTCAGCTCCCATTCACCTCCTGGCCTCCGGCCGCTTTTACCGCATATTGCAACAGACAAAAAGCAAAGCTTCAATCCAGAAAGATGTCATGTGGGGAAGGCAATGATGGAAGCGTGAATATTATTCTATGTTCAACCCCGGCACGCACCAGGGCAGGTATTCTTTATGGAACAATGATGGGGTTTTGCTCATAAAATTGCAAATACCCTCAAGAGAATGTGAACAGAATGAAGCTGAAATGGTTTGTTCAACAAGACTGGGAAAAGCCGCTGAAGATATTCTTAGGATCGCAAGCAACAAGCAGGAGACAGCTACCATGTAGAGAATCAAAGACATACTTGACTGACGAGATCCTGGCCAGAAAAACACGGGTCGGGATCGTCTCAGTGCAGACTCCTGAGAACAAGGTACTGGGCAGACCTTGGCAGAGCCAAAGCTGTGCTTCTTGCTGTTTTACTGGAGCAAGTGACTTAGGCTTTCCCATCCAGAAAAAGAACTTAGTCCTAGTTCCTAACTCACAGGACCGCTGGGAGGGTTTTATGAATAGCATCACGAGCACTGCCCCTCGGTCACAGGCCAGTCCACCACCTGCCATGGTTACCATTAATGGCAAAGCACAGCTGCTTTCTTCGTTGTTTCTATTATATTTATATTAATAGATCAGTATCTGAAATGTGCACTACAGAGCTGAGTAGCTTCATTAAGGTATTTCCAGACCAGTCTGTACTGCGTGGTGTGAAAGTGCTTTCTTTCCTCACATAATAATGAGCACAATTCCGTGAAATGGACATGAGAGTGAAGAGGGCCCTGACAGGTATTTGTTTCCATATATGATTTTAAATTCCATGTTACTACAAATTAACTCAGCCCTTGTCTATAAAAATTTGTAGAATGCTAAATGGGACCCTCTATCTTAAATGCCTTGAAATCCTTTTTATTTTACTTTGTTCTGAGACAGTATCTCACAGACCAGGCTAGCCTGAACTCACTATGTAGCCCAAGGCTAGCCCTGCCTCTTGGATGCTGGACTCGAAAGTGTGAGCCACTATGCCGAGTCCTCTAGCATCTTGCACCACTTTCACCCACCTTTACTTTAGCATCAGTATGCTTCTGAATCCCTGACTACTCATGTCTGTGCCTCAGTGGCTGTTCTCAGCTTCATCCAGAGTTTGGGGGAGTTTTTATTCCTTTGGGATGGCCTTTACCAGTGACCACTGGGTAACGGACTTTGAAGATCCAATTTTCTTCCCTGTGTTTGATTAGAAAAAAATCTTAGGTGTAATCTACACCCATGAGTTTCTCTATGGGAGTCGGCTGAGACCAAGCACTGTTCAACACTGGCCCTAATTACAATTTGGCTTTTTCCCCTGCCCTGTTTTTGCCCTGCTTTCTTGATCATTTCTAATTCCCTAAAGTAAGTATTTTCACACCAGTTCTGGTCTCAGGCTTAACTTGGAGAGTCAAGCATGGCACAATTGCTGTGGATAATGGTGCCTATATTTTTTTGTGTGTGTTCATATGTGTCTTTTATGATGCTCAAATCTGACAACTATGAAATTGTATAGTATATATCACAGGCTTTAAATTTTTTAAATACTTATCATCACCATCTTTTCATGTCTACAAATATTCCCCAACAACGCATTTCAAATAGCCACCTGGCACCCTCTTGTATGGCTGCCCTATAATTTAACCAATGCCACTCAAATTCTTTTTGCTGTTTATTGCTATAGTAACATAATAATGCTGGATGGAACAACTTTGCAAGAAAAATTTTGCATATGTCTATTCATGTTCTATCTGGAGCTAGGTCAAAGGTTGGAGCATCTTATGGCTATGATTCTTATTCCAAAATGTCCTCCAAAAGCAGCAGCCCTGGTTGATTATGATCAAGCAGCATTGCCTTTAGTCTTTATCCCTGTCATTCCTCTGTTTGTGAGACTAAATAAGCAGGGGCTGGGACATGAGCCCCAAGGAAGCCTAGAACATGGATGGACCCAGCAGAAGCTTTGGTTTTCAAAATGACCTACTGCTGCCCCCCACTGCACCAACTGCTTTAAGTCTTACCTGCATTTCCATCTTCATTGCGTGAAGTGGAATGAGCCTTCCTCACATTTCCTGATTTCAAACTTCCCTGCCAAGGTACAGTGTTGCTGTTTGGTTGTTTTACTCTTTTTATTCTTTTGGCTTTTTGCTCTTTGAGGAGCCCACCACCCAGCTTCCAAATAAACCATACACGGAGGCTTATTCTTAATCATAAATGCCCAGCCTTAGTTCGGCTTGTTTCCAGACGGCTTTCCTTAAATTATCCCACATACCTTTGGCCTCTAGACTTTCTCCTTTTCTTACTTCTGTATAGCTTACCTCCATTCTTACTCCATGGAAGTGACTGGCCCCTAGCGGTGTCCTCTCCTCATTCTCTCTTGCTCCTTCCTCTCTTCCCAGATCTCTCTTATTTATTCTTTCTGCCTGCCAGCCCCGCCTATCCTTTCTCCTGCCTCACTATTGGCCATTCAGCTCTTTATTAGCCCCACATTGGAATGTCAAAATGTTGTTGGTTTTTCAATCTTTACTCTTTGGTCTTTTGAATTTGGTGGGGAGTGGGCTCCAACCAGCTCTGAAACAAATCACACATGGAGTCTTATTCTTTCTTATAAATATCCAGTCTTAGCTTGACTTGTTTCTAGCCAACTTTTCTTAACTTAAACTATCCCATCTACCTTTGCCTCTGGGCTTTTTCCTTTTCTTACTTCTATAATCTGACTTTGACACTTTCTCTGTGGCTGGCTGGGTCCCTTCTTTCCTTCCTTCCTTCCTTCCTTCTTTCTTTCCTTCCTCCCCTCCCCCTCCTCCTCTTTCTTTCTTTCTTTCTTTCTTTCTTTCTTTCTTTCTTTCTTTCT